GTACCGTAATACTGAGGCGTTCGGTTCTGCACAATTCATGTTCGCTTAGCTTCCCTCCCCACCAAGAAGCACAGTCATGTACTTGATTGTATCAGTGCTGTGTTAGAATTGTAAGGACAATCACTATATGCAAAATTAACGACAGACGTCCTTGGACATAATTATATTATGCCAAATTAAAAATCAAATAAGTATATGAAATAATATTTTTGAGTAAAGAGTAGAAAGCAGTGAGGTGTGGCTGTTGTGTAAAGGTCACACAACCAGTTATTAATCCCCGCTACATGCACAAATACTCCGCACACAGCACTCACAAGGCACAGCGGACTCTGACAGTAGTAGATGTGAATACAAGGATTGGTACTTGGAAAGGAACTAGTTAGGTTAATTTATTTTACGAAAATAGTGGTTGCGACTTCCGCGATCATTTTTAGGACAAGATTTGCTCTCCACACTGGAGCTTGCGCTATTCCGCCGACTTGACTCAGCACTTGACTGACTCACGACTGCCATTCAGAGCACCGGAGAAGTCCATCGAACTTTCGACTTGGCAAAACTCCAAGGAAGCACCACTCCCTACTCAATACACAGTGTTTCGGGGAATTCACCGCTCATCAGTAGCCGTTGGCGGACTATGCTCGGCCAATCGTAAAATTATGCTTTTGATTATGCCACAATTATGCCAACAAATATGCTGAATTATGCTGAATTATGCTCGGTTCCACTATGTATTCACGCTGTACATAGAGGATTGAGAAACCACGCATACACACACGGCCATGCCCTAAGCATAATTTTTGTCTAAACCGAAAGATTATGGCGACCTTACACGTTGGAATCCGTATATTATGCCGGAGCATAATGTTTTGACGAAATCTCAAGATTATGCCAAAATAATATGCCGGCATAATCCGCCAAGGGCTATGTCAAGGAGTCGTAACAGGGGTATTAATTTAAAAAAAAACATCTGCAGGCTTTCTGACAAAGCTGTATTATGCCCCTAAGCATAATTTTTGTCTAAACCGACAGATTATGCCGACCTTACACGTTGGAATCCGTATATTATGCCGGAGCATAATTTTTTGACGAAATCCCAAGATTATGCCAAATAATGCCGGCATAATCCGCCAAGGGCTACTCATCAGTTTAGCTTGAGTAGGCTGAGGAAGATTGCGCCTGAAGAGCACCACTTATATAGTGCTCTCCAGGCACAAACATCGCCAGGGATATACATGTAGACTTCAGACTTGCCAACCCAGCCAAAGCCCTTCGGCCTTAGTCACACACACACACACACACCCTGTTTCCCTAAATTTTCTCTCATTTCCCTTATTTTGCTGTTTTTATTGCCAATTTCGGCTATTTTCTTTTTTTTGGCATTTTTGAGTATCTTGCGTATCTTGCGCAATTTTTCCGTAATTCAATTCTTTCTTTTTATTAATTTTCTAACCCATTGCTCATTGGGGGACCAAAATCTATTCTTCATTATCAGATCGCCCTACATGTGTGATACTGTGAAATGCAGGGCTATTGTTTGCCCGCTATGTGCAGCAGTTGACTGGAGTTGACTCGAGGGCGCATGTGCCCTCGTCGCACCACAAAACAACCTTTTTTTGACCACTCATGGTTCAGTGCCAATACAGGTAGTTTTTCGATCAAAGTAAAAAATCCCCGATATGCTGGTAGTTACCCTAGTTTTCCGGTAGCATACCGGTACTGGGAAAACCGGTATGCTACCGGAAATATGAAACTTACAGAGACGCTCCGTTTCCAGCGCGACAAAAACCTTGCAAACACCAGATAGCAGCGTGAGTCAGTGTCGCTCCTGGACGGTGAGAACAAACATCGAGGACCTTTGGTCATTCACAATGCTGTCACGGCTCCAGCTAGTGGCAAGCCCGCGCGGGGCACACCAGTACGAAATAGTGACTGTCTGCGGGACGTACGTCCAGCTGGAGCACAGGCAACCACCATGGCATGGGCCTACGAATAACGTTACATAGCCTGTAGGGCACTCATCTTCTTCACACACTGCGATACGTTTGATTTCCTGCCAGCAGTGGCCACACGCAGGGGCTGGACAGACTCGACTGGTAAACCACTGGTGAACTGTTCGATAATGACGGTATACTCGTCACCAGTCGCGCTGTGACCACACAGGCCCAGCAACCCGCTGCAGATCCGCGAAGTAAGCGTCTACGTGCCTCAGGTTTCAACTTACGTTGCACAAACAAGTTGTGAGCCTGCGACTTCCTTTCTGCGACTTCCTTACTGCGAACACAGATGACATGGACGCACCCTTTGGTGCGTCCATGGAGCTATGAAACCGAGACCTCTGGTCGGCGGAGCTTAATTGGGCCCCACCACCACCACACACACTCCATTATTCACCCCAGTGTCTGGACATATGTGGATTTTGTAGAAGAAAAAAATAACAACAACCAATCGCACCAGGAAAGCGTGGCCGTCCAGGACCAGCGGAAGGTGGTATATTTTTACATCGTCCTACGTCCACTTTGAGAATGTGGCCAACACAACAAATTTTGTAAAGCATTCAAGTCGTGTGTTCGTGTTGCACGCGTGTGTTCACCTCATTGGCCTCGCTCGTTCCTCATTTCTTTAGTTCATTAATTTTCGCTTATGCGAAGACTGCACAAGCTTGCTTGGTGATGTCAACGCGAACCAGCAAAATGATAATAATTCAAATCGTGTCCCCCTTGCCGTTGAAGGGGCGAAGGAAATTGTCCAACCGTGAGACTCATTCTAGAAGAACTACGAATTGCAATACCAAACAGTCAGCTTGTGAGAACAAGCACAGGCACCGACCACGGCCACAAGCTCACCAACACACAGGCGAACACTACACGACGCGCACGACCCAACGATCCTCAAATCCAAGGCGGGTTTCCGCACCACTTTGTAACGGATTCGCAGCCATTCCGTTCAACGGCACGCAGAACACCAACGACGAGTACTGTTTATTGTAACTTGAACTACATGTAGGACATGATGGTAAAACAGGGACAGCTGATTCCCGCGGGACGAACAGCAAGACTGGAAAATGGACTCTCGACTACAACATCGCGCATGCTCACATCACACATGCACGCGACTAGACGAAGACAAGACAGTTTGGGGAATATCAGCACAGCGGGAAGCAATACCTGTACATCGTTTCATAACAATGTCATGACACAACAAGATTAGCAAAATCATAAAGTTTACACAGCCAGAAAGGCCAGTAGAGCGCCTATCGGGCTAGAGAAGGTGTTGTATGATCTCCTGTATTGTGCAACGCTTCTCCGGGCTGGGATGCAACATAGAGGGCACGATGTGTCTCAGCGACTTTGGCAGATCAGCGAACAGGTGTGTTACTGGCACTCCGGCCTCCACTGCAGTCGCATAACTGGTGTAGGCGACACAGTTGGCTGAGGCCTCGCGCCACAAGTGAATATGACATAGGAACAGGGCCGTTATGCCCAGCTCCCACACATCAAGCGCCTGCCCGCCGCGATACTTCTTGCGATCGGCACGTTTGACTTCCTTGTGCTCGGGGAATATCTCCGGTGGAGCGTAAACTGTTGTATAGCCGGAGTTTGACTGAGGATACCAGTCACCCAGTGTTCGCGCGGACCCGAAGTCCATAAGACGATATTGATTGGCGCCACCATCCTCGGGCGCATCGAAGAGGATGTTCTCCCTTTTCACATCACAGTGAACAAAGCCACAGCCATGAATGTGCTCCAGCGCTTTAGCCATACCCAGGATAATTCTCTCGGCTTCCACGATCTGGTGAGTAGGACGCATGTGCGTAAGGCTGCCACCCACGGAGACTTCCGTGACCAGGCCAAAGTGCGACTTGCTCGCCGTCTGGAAACGAAACGGGTAGCAGGCGAGGATGTTCGCATGACGCCGTGCACAGCAGGCCACGTGAGTGCGGTGCTCCTTGATGAACGCCTCCTCCGTGGTGCTGCGACGGTTCTTGATGACTTTCAGCACCATCTCCGTGCCCTTTGGTACACGACCTAGTTTGGCTTTGGCTCTGACCCGCACGACCACGCATTTGTCGCCGGTTTTTCGGTGCAATTCCTGCTCAAAAGTTACCACTTTGCTGCAATCGTCAACAGTTACTAGTTCAACCTGATCGGACATGATCACAGGCGACGGCGGCGAGTCTTGACCGCGGGGTTCGCTACCTGGCTCCGGATCGTTCTTGGCACTAGCCTGGTCGCTGGTGGCACCCGCAGTATTGGCTGACCCCTTACAAGCTTGCGCTTGCTGGGGCTGCGGCTCTGGCTCAGACTCCTGCTCCTTATTTTCAGGCTTAGCAGACGTTTCCGGCGCGCTAGCCACCTCGCGCAAGGTCCGTAATGCTGAATCGCCGGAGCCCATTCCAAGCAAGTAGTTTGAGAAGGAGGAGGAAGTCAAGCTGGCGCGACCCTTCTCGATTGCTGTCAATTCTCGTTTCAGGTGAATTGCAAGATGTTTGAATTGCGCAAAACGCATTGGGTAGCGATAACAGGCCGGGAGGGCACTCCACAATGCTCCCCAAGCGTCACACCATATACGAGGCAGCGTATCCTGGTCCGATTGTGGGTGCTCGAATTCTCTGCAGGACGACCAGGTCCTCCGGGCGAATCCTCTTGGCCGATTCTCCTTGCCGATCCTAGTTGTACCGTACATAGAATACGGTAGTGGCAGATGTACGGGAAGTCATCTTGCTACTGTATCTTTTCTACAGGAGTGGTTAGGCCTTGGTAAATACCGTACTCAGTTTGCTACGGTATTGTGTACACACTTTCTTCTTACGACATGAGCTTTTTCAGGATTTTACTAAACAAATGTGGTATGTAAAATGGAAACGAATTATGAAGCAACTATCCACGAATGTGACAAGATAATAAGCGGTCAGTACGTGCGATAACTGTGTGAAACTACTGGTGTTGTAGTCAACTCGTCCACAATAGTGTCATGCATGACGATCACCGTTAGATATTGGCGGCCGGTTTTGTACATTTCGCTTTCGCAAAGCTTTCCCCTTCCTTTATATGTCCGATACTGCTGACCCACCCAAGTTGGGTGGTGTGTTGCTTTGCTTCTTCGAATTGTAGTTAGACCACATTGTCATGTTATTAACTTGTCTCGCCATCGTCCAGTAACAGTCGGCATTCTTTGTTGCCGTGAGACTTAGCTGGTGCACATTTCTGTGGCGCTCACCTTCCCCTCTTTGGTCCTACCCAACCTTGAACTTTCCAAGTTGTAAGGCTGTTGGTTTGCGCACAGGAGATGTGTTTGGAGCTAGGTCTAGGTCGCTGAATGTCTCAGTAGCCTGCTAATTTTGTACCCTGTTATCCAACGTACTGACCGCTTAATAGAAAACGTTTTTTGCCCTTTTTCAAAATGCGGTGCAAATCTCACGTTACGTGTGATTTTTAGAGGTTAACGTGCGACGTGATGTGACATTTTGCCTGGCAGGATTTGGGTTTAGTTCGCACAAATATCAAATCTTCCAACAAACTCGATAAAACTCCGGAAACTCACACAAATTCGGTCGGGATAACCAAGCGAAACTTCCAAAAACCCACGTCATGAACTTACGTGCGGGACAGTCAACCCACGTAAAACACGTCAAATTTTACGTGAGTTTTTTTTACTTTTGACGTAAAAGTTCACGGACGTAAGAATTTTACGTGAAACAACCTCTATTATCTTGTTAAATTCGCGGAAAATTGCTTCATAACTCGTTTCCATGTGTGTTCTTCGTGTCATACACGTTTGGCATATGGAACATAGATATGGAGCAGAATTCAAGGAAGTGCCTGCCAAGATCAAAGCAGCACCCGCGTTCTATTTACAGTGGACTAGCGATGTCTGCGGGGTTTTTTTTTAAGACTATGTTCACATACCCAGCTCGAAAAGAATAATGAAAGACAATGAATGGTACGGAGACTAGTATTTTACTGAATCGACCGGCAACAGTCATTCCAAAGGTCAAGGAATTAGCAGTAACTTCTATCAAGGCCTCACTGAGTGTCACCATGCATTGTCACTACTACTACAAAGACAAACGTGACAACTAATGAGCAGGCGCTGAACCGAGATGCAGCTGTGATGGTGGGGTGCGCAGTACAGTGTACTGTGAGTCTATTATTTTTGTTTGAGGGATTCCCCAAAGGCCGAAGCCTAAATCAAGGGGGTCTCCGAGAATAAATATACGCGTACAATACGTGTACAATGGGGTGCAATTTTTAAAAGGAGGAAAATATTAAGATAAAAAAGATTAATGTGAAGAGGTTAATTTAGACGTCTGAGTAGAAGCAAGCGAAAAGGGTACTGGTAAAGAAGGGGGTAATCAGGAAGTGAGAAAACCTCGAGGATGGAATCTATACCTGTGGAAATGGGACTTAGCATGCCGGCTAAATACACCACGGGTTTCAGACATCCTAATCTCGGTAGGCAGGGAGTTCCACGTGGTGATCATGGAATGTAGTAGAGTGGAGCGGAAACAGTAACCAGTGTGAGTGGGCAGGAGGTAGTCTATGACCATAGATACCCTGGAACGACGAGCTTGACTTGGGCATTCTTCGGCTCAAGGCGGAAACGTGCATGGTAACAGTCTTCGTTCATGCCCATCGAGAGTTCAATCGGTAATGTTGGCTTTGTAAGTCCATTATAACCAGGCTATGTGTACACACCGTGCAACGTTCTTTTTCTTTCCCTTTTCCACAAAGATCACAGCTCACATGCAAAGACTAAACCGAATGCATACTAGCATGGGAGCATAGTGATGGTGAGAGGCTTGTGGACATCAGCCGACCTGGGGTATCGGCGTCACGGGGACATCAAACGCACCAAAAAAGAAGAAAAAAGAGAGAAAGTGACAAACAAGAACATGTATAATATTATTATACATGATTGTATTGTCGCCCATTCCCAGGAAGGTCACGTGGTCACTGGCACTTCAAAGAACACGTACATGTACAATGTACATGTCATGAACATGTAATCAGTCAGCCCAACAGGGCAACACATGACATTAAGCGCATGCATGATGACGTACACAGTTTAGATCATAACTGGTGAAATCTAGATTTTCTTAAATAATAATAATTTTAATAGTGGACTCGAATGGAGAGCCAGTGGTAAATTTATAGAAAAGAAAAAGAACCATGACAGTAACTCCAAGAAAGTAACTGGTGGTGTTAGTGGGCAATAGCGTAACTTGTAGTTCATTGGTCCTTTTCCTCTGATGAAGCACTCTACGTGCAGAAACCGATCAGGTCTCATCCAACATCTTTTGTAATAATAGTATGAATTTTAATTAATTTTAAACTACTGTGCCTTTGTTGTGCCAGGAGATGTTGATGTGTCGGGAGTTGTCCATCCAAAAACTCCATTATAATAGTTTTCTACTATCTCCTGGTGATACGTGTTCTAGAAGTGTGGCATACCCTAAGAAATTGATTTGTTTTTAATTACTGTGAAAGCCATATATATAACGAGGTGCTAACTCTAACGAGTTAACGAGGAGAAATCTGTGGTTAAAATAGAAATCGTTATACAGAAATCGATACACATACTGTCCAATTGAGCGTGGAGAATGAGTGAAAATCGTTACCTTTGGTACACGTAAACTAGTCAATTTTGGAAAATCGTTATAATTATATATATTATTATGCGCCTCGTTAGAATAATGGCTTTTACAGTAACCGTAGGATGCACCCAATGCGTTGCCTGATGATTGCGAAAGCATGAAACTCAGGGTAGCGCATAACTGCTTATGGTTGCCCTTGTTGTTCTCAGTGATTTTACGTTTATCGCAAGCAAGTAGGGACTTTTCTTTTCTACACACAAGTATAGCGTTCTGTTACTTGTATCTTTAATATAGCATCATTCATCCTCGATTCCCACACGGTTAGGCTTCCGTTAAAATTCGAACCACGGTATACACTCTGGAGATATCTTTCGACAATCTTCTTTACTGACAGTGGAGCAGCTCTATGCTGCGGTATCTGTGTGCAATCAAGCGTACATTATACTCTTGACATAATGCGTTAGCTGTGTAAATACACATGCGGCTGGGCTGTGCGTGGAATGTGTATGCCTTCCCAGCGACAATGTCATAGGGGTATGTTAGCATGTATTTAAGCAGCGAAGCCGTCCAATTTACTTGTTGTTGGATTCCAGAAGCAACTATTACTTGAACATAGCAAGGTTTGAAATTGTTTTTGCAACTGGTACCATTCGACTACAGATAATTAATTTTTACAATGGCTGAAGGAGCGCGCCGGGTTCGCTTTGACGAAGCGGTCAACGTCCTAAGGATTGAAAACGATATTCCGGTCCAGGATTCCGTTGCCTCAGGTGCTCCATCCCTAATATCAATCACACTTCAGGAAACGTCTCGTGCAACATCGGCATCGAATGTACGTCACCTCGCCGGTATTGATGAGGAAAGATTCAATCCGGCTCTGAAAGGTGATATTTCAAGGGCCCGCCTTGAAGCCTCCATAGAAAGGATAGAGGAAGCTAAACGTGAGTGGGAAGAGGTTGCGAGTGTGCAGCGTGCGCAGCTAGAGGCAAGGCGGAAGAGCAGGGAGGAGCATGCTCAAGAAGAAGAACAGGCAAGACGGGAGAGCTTGCGGACAGGACTTTATATGGGAGCGTTTTTCGTAATGTTCGTATTGGGCTCCGTCATACTTAGACACAACTGACCCAAGAACAGCTTTTCTGAGGCATGTCGCAGCTGCTCTCTTCACTGCTCCACTGGAAACCAAAGAAAGTAAAGAAAATCGATTTTTTTAGTCAAAGTAGCATGCGCTCTTGCTTGAGAAAGACATTCGTGCTATGTTAGTTGTGAACAAGGGACATAATATGTATGCACATCTATGTACTCAAACTGCGCGGGGGGGGCATGCATGCATGTTTGATGTTAATCACTATGATTGCATTCTTCGTCACGAGACACAGTGGCTGTGCGACATGCCGACCATCGGGACCAAGGTACAGTGCATGCACTTTGGTGACGGAAGGAGAGAGGGAGGGGTGGGTGGGGCTAGTGGCTTGTGTCAATGAACCATCAGGGAACGCTGGCGAGATCAAAAGGAGTATAGCAGTGGTGAATACTATTATGACGATTGTTTTGGACTGACCGTTCTTCCCAGAACCTTACAAGTCATGAGTAGATCTCCGTGTTACCAGCAGCAGGGTGAGATGAGAGAGCTGCCGCCCCAGGCCGAACTCTCTCTCTCTCTCTCTTTCTATGCTGCCTTTGCCTTGGCCATCTCTGTGATGCACGTACAGTAGTATCAACTGATTCTCATTATCAATTTATCATTATAATAATTATTCATATTCGCTTTCATGTTATTGGGTTCTATGCCAGTTTAAATTTGCGAATCAAAATAAATAAAAACAAACAAACTGAATTCCGACCCCTGGTTGTTCATGCTCAACTTTCAGCTCAAGTGCAGCGGGGGGGGGGGAGTTTCCTGCGGTCTCTACAAGCAGTATCGTGTAAATCAAAAAGAAATTGCCAGGGAAAAACATTGGCCGATCTCGAAGTCAAACCTTTTGACCGTTATAACGAACTTGGGCCTATTGGGGAATTTAATGAAAGAGGAAATCATTCATAGAAACACAGCCAATGGGCAACCAGCAGACACCGATTCGTTTTGACGGAAAGACTGTGTCCATTAGAATACATCGGGGAATACTTCAACCTCTCTTCTCTTATTGGCCACAGGCGAACGTGTGAATAAAATATTTCAAACCTCCCCGGTAGTACATTGGGTACTGCACTTGCCTGCGACCCGAGAGGTCGCGGGTTCGAGCCCCGCAGTCGCACATCTGACTGCAAAATCCCCACGACGCAGCTCACCAGATCAAGGTGTGAGTCCTCTGCACTCAGTAGAGTCAAGTCGAGCGAGCTGCAACTCCCGGTGCCGAAAGGCGGGCTAACGCCCCTACATGGCTACTTCCCGTTGTCTAACCCCCAAGA